CTTCCTTCACAATTTGTTTGTAGCAATTTTGGATATGGAGTTATTTCCTTTACATTCCAGTACTTTTGAGTTGGAATGAATGGGAGAATAGACGGTGGGGATAACAGTGATGGCTGATTGTATTTGTAGTTTTTTAATGTTGTTTTGGTTTTATATAGAGGTGCTTCTATTGTAAGCTTGGATTGGCAGTGCTGGTCGAGAAAGTTTCAGTAGGCTTCACAAAACAATTCGGTCACCTCTTCCTGTTTATACTTTTTTGTGGCCCTTTCTTCTTTACACTTCTAAAAATGAGTGCGTTTCTTGGTATCTCATCCAGGAGGTCTGGAGTGGTGTTTCCCAGGTGAGAGGGAAAAGAAAGTGTTTGCCAGTGGGTGTGGCTATTCTTCCTGGGTTTCTTTTAGTTTGACAATAGAAATGATGCTTATTGAGTCCAAGACTCTTGCTTTCACATCGGTGTCTAGTTGGAGTAATATTTTGGAGCAGCTGTTTGACAGGATGTTTAGAGGAATTAATGAAGAGTTTGGCCAAGAAAGTTGTTCGTCCTTCTCTGTTTTTGATATATTTTCTTTCTCTCGATTTCAAGAATATGATTCTTTAATCTTTGGTTTCTCATATAACATTTTGGGCTGTAATTTGTTCTCAGGCGAGAGTGGAAGTGTCTTTCGGCTTTGGCCGTTCACTCGTTGGTTTCCTGGAGATTGACATGTGGTTTGCTATATTTTTTACTTAGTAAAAGCAATATTCTCCCTAGTTTGATTGCAGAACAGAGATTTCTGCATTAAATTAGAGTTTCGTTGAATTGGCGGTTTTTTTATTTATCGTCAATCAAGCAAATCATTTTTTTTTTGTTTGGGGGGGGGGTTAAAGGCTTGAGATTTCAGTTGGTGCCGTTGGAATTAAAGAAAAACAAAGATCTGCAATATATTTATAAATAAATAATCAAACCAATCAAAATGTGAATTGAAGATTAGCAGCTGTAAACCGATCAACATAATGAGCATGGGTTTGCCCTCGCAGCTTTGTGAAGCAAGGTAATAGCTATGAACCGATCAGCCTATATGTTGTCGGTTTTCATTACCTGTCGTTGTCGGATATCGAATTAAAGATCGTGCCGGGGGTCGCGTAGCCAAGGATGTTTGTTGCGCAAGTATGCAAGTGACGCTATTGTTCTAGCAAGGACGCTATTGTTCTAGCGGACGGGATCATGACGACTGTTCTATCAGAATGTGTTCAAGTCTTGGCTTATTATTGTCTTAATTTGCGTGTCTTCATCGCTTTAGTCTAACCTTTCTTGATCTGGTGATATGGCATTCTATGACTGAGGTGAACTCTGGCAAAACAAAAAACAAAAAGACTCAGATGAACTAATGATCTGATAATCTATGACTAACTGACTAACTGAGGTTCGGTTTTGCCGTAATTGACTGACGAAGACACATTTGTTGAGCTCATTTGTTCTCGAGAAGGTGATTCCACATGGGAGTGTCATTCACTCCCCAACGGAAGCCTTTTGGCTTATTGCCTGTAAGTTTTCCGTTTAACAATATTAGCCTGCTAGGTAGAGTTGAGAATCATTCGGATCATTGCCATGTTACCAGAAACCATCCCTGTTTGGCCTGAAACTCTGCACAGCTTTCTTGAGTAAAAATTGTCGCGTCTAACATTGACGTCAAGTCGTCAAGAAATTAAATGCATTCATGTGATGGCTATCAAAACTAAGAGCCTATTTGGTTCAATCTCATTGCACACATGCAATGATAACTCTCATTGCATTACCACAAATGACTTGTTTGGTTGGACTTATTGATGATAAGAGAAATTACATTAGTAAAAACAATTGTATATTTTTTTTTGGTAATATTCATTCCTAGGGGAATCCCTATGAATGCTCATTGCAAATATGTAGTCTTTTATGAAATATCAATTTTGTCCTAAATTGCATAATGAGAAGATAGAATTTGCTTTCATAAACAAATTGCCTAATCAGATTAGTCATGAGCAAATCTCCCAAATCATACAAGCAGATTGTTCATCAACAAAATCTCAGGCGATCGGATTGTTCATCAGCAAAATTTCACAAATTATGCAATCACGTCATTAGCAAAAGCCCTAGCATATATCTCTAGAAATACAAACAAGGGATTGGCACTTGAGAACAAGGTGGGTTTGCGGCAAACGGAAAGAAAGATGTCCTTACTTGTATTGATGAGGTAAGTGTTGGTTTTTTTGTTCTCTTTCACTGTTGTTTCTTTTACTTTTGCCATTCATTTTGTTATTGTTTTCCATTGAGTTCTGATTGTGAAGGGAGGGGGCTAAGAAAAATAGTTGAAGAATTTGTCGATCATGATTTTGGGTTTCTGGTTTCAAAAAACACTAGCAACTCTATGCTGCGTGTGTCACTAGTTCATATATTTTTATATACTGATATTGATGAACTATGAACAAATGGGATTTGAAATGTTGAAAGGACAAAACAATAATATTTTTATATACTTTAAAAAAGAAATTAATCTTTTTTTGATAGTTTGGAGGTGCAGAAGTGTTGGTTTTAGTATTGAATTCTTATGTCTTACCATCAAGAACAAGGTAACATTGACAAAATTCATTTGTATGTTATATTTTCTTGGAAGCAATATTCATAATTTATTTGAATGTGATTTTATTTTTTTAAATGATATGAATTGTTCATCTATATGAATTTTTTAAATGAAGTATGATTTCTTTAAGCGATTTGTTCCTCTGTTATTGTTCTATATTTTCTTTAATTAGCGCTCTGTATCCTTGTGCTAAATGGTTGATGGTTCCATGGCTTTTTATTTTATTTAAACATATATATGAATGGTTAACTAAAACAAACAATATGGACCAAGAGAGTGACGAAGCAGATCTTCATTTAATGCTTAAATGGTTAATGGTTTTTTATGCTTTTCAAAGAATATTGATGATTATGATGTGTGCTATAACTATTTTAAGCAAAAAGAGCATACAAGATCGTTCTTACTCTTGATTTTCATACTAAGAGAACGCATCTTAGAGAGTAGGTTTGTGGTGGTGACAATACTTGTTACGACATGGAGAAAAGATAAAGTATAAATTTAAGTTGGAATCAACATGATATGCCAAATTTAAATTATTTTATGTAAATGAGTAAAACCAAAAAGAAATTGAAAAAGAAATTAACAGATATATTTGGCATAAGATTTGCCAAGTTAGGAATTAATTGAAAAGAAATTAACAGAAAGTTCAATTCCATTTAAAATCTTTCACGAGCTATCTTTCTGTAAAAGTGAAGTAATGTTGCTTATCTGGGCTTGGTGGTAAGGGAATGGGTTAATGATCAAGAATATATTTCCATTATACCAAAAAGCAAACTCACAAAGTCCACTGAAACATCTATAAACATAATCCTAGACACCACACAATAGATTCCTCAAGGCAATTCGTTCTCAAGGCCCGCATTCATGACCAATCTGCGGCATTGTTACCCTGGCCATTGGCACTTACCTGCAGCCTTTTTATTCATCAACATTTTGCACAGTCTATTTTTAATACACTCCTCTCCCCTTCACTCTTGTGCCAGCATGAGAGCCCTGCTAGTAGTCATTGCTTCAGTCATGGAGGAAAAAGTAGCTCGTGTACCTGCACATGCCTCTGAAAAAAGCTGCTACTTTATTTCTGCATAATACTCCTAACCCAGCTCCTTCTTCATTAATTTTTGGTTTGGACCCCAAATTGAAAGGGACTAATTAGTAAGGCAACAAAAAAGCATACATGGGCAATGAGATAACAATTTTTCATTCCATGTATCCACTTTGGCATCCATTCTAATCACAAACCTTCTGTTTTATCATTCCAAAGCACTTGAATAACTGAGTATACCTCAAACATTGGCTCCATATCGAGGATTATGATTAATATGGCATATTTACATCATAACCTTGAGTTCAACAAAAGATACAAAGGCTATGCAAGGAACGCAGTCTCATCGATGATGATCAAATTAACAACAGGGAAAATGGGCATACCATTTAAATCAGTTTTTCAAACATTGCATTGCATGGGCAAATCATATATAGCATATGTAAAGTGCATCATCTTTGCAAAGCTTATAAAACAATATGTGATAGATGTCATCATCACTCTTTCACTAGCCAAGATATTTTCTCATAGTCAATTACCATCTTAGGAACATGGCCCATTTTCCCCCATTCTTGGGCTTCATCTTTGCGACACCGTTTCTTCAATTCAGGGCAATTATTCATAAAAAGATATTCAAGAGAAGAAGGCAAAATGCAAACACGAAGGGAGAGATGAGACGCAGACCTGTACGAAAATACGTTGTGGATGACTGACTGATCTGGCTAGTGTATTGGAATGCGTTAATAATCATTTAATACAGTGGCGGTTGGTTTCTAGAAAATATTACCAATCTTTATGGTCATCACTGTTTCTTCAGTGCAAGACCATGAAAAAAATGACGATAAAGTTATGAAAGGGGAAAAATTGCAATTAGGTCTTATCTAAAATAATTAAATGCAAAAAGATTTTTTAAAACCATCAAATTATTGTGAAATTTTAAGGAACCTCATTGTAAGAGATTCCATTTGTTTAATTAGTAAATTGTTGTTGTTGTTATAATTTTTTTAATTTTGCATTGAGAACTGAAAGAGTAGTTATTAACTTAGGGTGTAACGATTAAAATGTAATGCATGAGTTGTCAGTAGCTGCTGTAATAGTTGTTAATCCTTACACCTTAAGTTATTAATGACTGTTCTTTTACTTGTCAATGTAAAATTAAAAAAAGAAAAAGGACAATTTGGTAATTAGATAAATAAACTATATTGTAATGAGATCCTTTAAGATTTCAGAATAATTTAATGATTTTAATATATTTTTTGTATTTAATTAATTTTCTTAGGTGGAATTTTACTGTAATTTTTCATAAAATGAGCTATAGTCAGCAAACAGAGATACTTGCGTTCAATTGACATTCATGTGATGATCTGACGTAGAGTATGGAGTTATGGGGACTTAGACTGCATTGATTCTGAGAAATGAGGAAGCAGCAGCAGCATTAAAATTTGGAAATGAGACGCTAAGGTGCTGAGCAACAAACATGAACGAAGGTATCAGGAGAGGTATCGCAAATCGTATAGAAATTGCTGGACCGTATTTGCATGTAACTTGACTTTAAGCCTCCGCTAAATTTCACATTTATCTGTCATTATGTTATAATTACAGAGATACTTTATATTTTGGAAAGTAGTGTGAATCCTCAATCAACATTAGCCGTTCTGGTCCCCAAAAAAAAAAAAAAATCAACATTAGCCGTTAAAAAATAATCAATCGTGGGTCATCAATTATAAGTGCGGTGAGAGGGGGATGGAAGTTGAAACCCAACAAACTGCCAGCTGCCATCAGTTGGGAATGGTTAGAAAATAGGAAAAATTGCAACTAAGTTTAAAAAAAAAGAAATAATTATCGAGAAATTCTAATAAATAATAATAACTTAAACAGGTTGTAATAACAAATTTTAAAATAAAGAATGATTATTTTTAAGACTTATTTTACTTTTTTATTTTAATTTCCCATAAAAAAATAACCATAAGATATTGACCGCCTTGCCCAGAGATCTGACTTCTGAAAGTTGAAAATTGCTAAATTTATCCGAGTGTCCCAAACCCTTTAACTATTTCGCCTTCCGAGAGAATTCAAATGCATATATTAGTCTCACTCCTATGCTCTCAGTTGAAGTCGTCGTCGTGTACAACAAGTACGTCACCGATCTATTTTCTGATATAACTTCCGCGCATTGCCTAATTCTCACATTCTTCACGACTTAAAACCCTAAATTAGTGAGCACTGCAGTGTCATTTGCATTGGCCTAAATTTTTCTGATTCGTGAGTGCAGGAATGGCCAGAAGCCTAGGAGGATTTCTGGCGCTATTTTTGGCTCTTTCAATCTGTCAAGCTGCGACAAATTTCGAGCCGATCTCTGACTCTCATCGATCCGCTGCTTTAGAACTCTTCACTCCCATTGATGGATCATTTTCTAGGTGACTATAATGATTTTTTGTCACCATTATGGCTACCCATTGAAAAGTCTAGTACCCCGTGATTTGTATTAGAAGTCAATTTACGTGTGTATCATACGTTTCAGTTCCTAACGTAGCGACTCTTATTGGCGTTCGGAAATAATGAGGTTGCCGTGATTTTATTTTTTGGCATCGGTTAAAGGTTCCCCCGAATCGAGTTACAGCTTAAGTCACACATGAGTCTCATTGAGTCTGGGATCAGCTACCATATAATCTAGTTTTTCTTGGATTTAACCACCCCATTGTTTCATTCAAAATGCAGCATTACCGTGATCTAAGCTCATGTAGAATGTTTTTGGCTATAAGAACTCTAACCATTACACTTCTAATATTTAAAAAAACTCGATATTTGTCTCTATTGAATTTTAAGTGATTCTATCCATGTCCAGTAAGTATTGTCCTATTGTCTGTTATCAGCTTAGAAGATGCTTACGAGGCCTTGAGAGTTTTTGAGATTCTTGCCATTGAAAAGAAGCCAGATGTCAGCACAACTACTTGTCAGAAAGTACTGGGAAATTTTGGGTCATCCTCTCCTCTGAAGGATTTGTTCTATGCATTAAAAGTTAATAGCTTACTAAAATGTGGGGTCAATGAGGAGGTTTTCAAGGTATTTTGTTCTGAAGGCATTGTTCTGTTATTTGCAGCTTAAATTTTTATCACCCAAAAGATGTACTGGTGTCTTCTGAGTCTCATAGTTGATGCCAAAATTTATTGATTTTGTAAAAGGACATTGCTTCGCGAGTTAAAGCCACAATCAATGATGCAAGTACTTTGCTCGACTTATACTACTCAATTGGAAATTTGATTCTTATCAAGGTAATTTTTCGGACTCATGCTTGGTTAGCCAAGCAGGCTAGTTAGACGAAATGCGTTTTTACCTATAGAGTATCTGATGCATATATGAAGATTACTATCTTGTTCTTCTCTACTCATAACTTGAGCTCCATTTCCCATTAAGACTGTGTGTGAGTGGCCATTTCCCATTCATCCTGTGTGTGAGTGGTCTTCATTGTGCTTTTAATCCTCGTGGTCATATATAAGCTATTCTCAAGTATTAGCATCTTCTTTGTACAGTTTCTTCTACATGTGGCCTATTAAATTGATATTACAATTCATTATAAGTACATTTGGTGCATCTCGTCAGATCTTTGTCCTTCTTTCTGTGCAGGATCATGCTCCTAATGCTGATGTCCTTTTGGCTGATGCTGATGGAACTTTCCGGTCTATCAAGGTTCATTATATTTTATTTGTTAGATGTTTGTAGGTTTGCTTTTGGATAGCCTCTTCTAATGTTAGCTAGGACACTCAGTATAAGAACCACAGCCCCTTTTCAATATGATTTTTTTTTTTTGGCTGCATTTATAATTCTTTCCTTTCTTTGAATGCTTGAGTTGATATCCTGCATTATTGACAGGCTTTGAGCCTAAGTGATGGAAGATGGCGTTACAGCTCTACTAATCCAGAGCCTAGTACATATGCTGCTGGTAATGAATTCAATGATGATTTTTTGATAATGTCAGGGTTTTCTTCCCGGATTTGACCTTCATTGACAAATTGATCTTACCATTATGCTGCAGGGTTAGCACTTGAAGCACTTGCTGGAGTGGTCTCATTGGCATCTTCAGATATTGATCACTCTAGGGTTAAGTTTTAGATCTTTAAAATATATAATCGTCTATTGTTTCATATGCCATTCTAGAAATTCATCTAAACAAGATTATTGGTAATAAATAATATTATATAGTGAATTTTCTTGGGGAAGCTTCTGAGGCTGTTTGAACTTTGTACAACTAGGTTTGTTTGCAGAAAGTGATTAACTGTCTTACGAGTAATGTATTGGCGTTGATTCAGTTTTGATGGAAGAGTGCTGTCAAATGAAATGATGTTAGCTTGGGGCAAATTGATTCCAATCGAACCAAATGATTCTGAGATAACAGTATCACTTACTGCTCATTCTAGGGCTTTTAGGTTCAACTCTAAGCCATCATACCCAACTAAAAAGGGGTCACTTGGGTGGAAAATATTAGCAGGAGAAAGTAGCTAAAAGTAACACCATAGAATAGTTGTTAGAGGTGACTTATCAACTGGCCTGCGTTTCACTGACAGCTAATTTGTGTTAGCCGGTTATTGTGCACTGAAATTGCTTTTATTCTGGAGCTTTCATTGTTCTTATCTTAGCTACATGTTGGCAGATCAATGCAGTGAAAAATGATATATTGAAGCTATTTGACAGGATTGAATATTATGGTAAGGGAAGCTATGCTTAAACTTATTGAAAGTGTTATTTGTAAATTTAAAACTCTGCAGACGGATGCAATTGCCATGGTCCTTTTATAACGGATGTCCATTTGATAAAAGATAGATGGTGAAGTTGTCCTTATTTTAGAAAATTTTATGCTTGATTTCAGTATATTTATAGAAATTAATTTGAATCATAAAATTTTACCATAATTTTTGTACCTGGAGTTTCAATTTCAATTGGCCCTTCTTAGTTGTCTGGGGGAAAAAATTATTCCATGTCATCGTCAGTGCATTACAGTCCTCCTACCAAGTGTTGCCTGGCATCAAATATTTCTTGAAGATTCTGCCCAAGTTTAGCTCTTTCCAACCGCTTCTTTTCATATGTTTTTCATGCATATTGGTCTCAAATGAACACTTGGTGTATTTTCAGATGATGGAACCTTCTATTTCGATGAGAAAATAGTTGGTATTGGTGAACAATTGGATTCCCTTTCCACTACTGCTTCAGTTGTCCGAGGGCTTACAGCATTTGCGGCTGCAATTCCTGGAAAAATAAATGTATGCAGAGTATAAGGAATTACAAATTTTCTTTATTATTTATGAGAATTTTCTATTAAAGCTTTGGATTTGAATTTCCAGCTTCCAGAGGATAAAATTTTGGGTTTAGCAAAGTTCTTCCTGGGTATAGGAATCCCAGCAGATGCAAAGGTTTTCTTCAATCAAGCAGAGTCCTTAGCTTTTCTAGAGAGCAATAGGCAAGTGCTTTTTCAGGAGCAATTGTAATTTGCCTCTTTGTGGCACTGTTTCCCTTATTTTCTTCTTGAGCCTTCCTTCTTTCTGATATATTTGCCTTTTCATGAGTTTTGAGCAAGTTGGATGTCATGAATTATTTTTCATTCTTGAAGGGTTTCCATCCCATTAATATTGTCACTTCCCACAACAGTTTACTCGTTGACCCAGAAAGAGCAGCTTAAGGTATGTAACTCAGCCAAAATGTTTAACACTTTTCTGGTTTTTCTATAATTTAGGTTGTGGTAGTCAATCGTTATACAATTTGTGTAGGAAGCTAGTGGCTTATGATTAATGATAGGATTTAATAGATATGACTTATACTGGGCTGTGTTTTGATTGTTTGTACACTCATACAACGCAAGTGTTAGCATTGTCGTTGGGATAAAATAACCTGCTGCCCCTTACAATTATAAAGAACATAGTTTGTCCCAAAGCCTAATCACATCATCTGTTCTGCATTTGCATTTTTGCTGTGTTCTCTTCATAACTTTAGATTTGCAATTGTGAATTGTGTATTGCTCTTACTTCTCAAGTTCTCTTTTAGTGTGCTGAAAGTATGACGAGGTTTTTGTTTATATTTTTGTTTGTTTAATAAAATTCATCAGGTTAGGGTGAAGACAGTGCTTGGTGGTGCTGGTCCGCCTCTAACAGTCAAGCTTGTCCGAGCTTCCAGCTCTGGATCTAAAGGTGCAGCTGTTTTTAAGAGTAAGGTGAGTGGTGACTATCTTGTGATATTATTATCTCTGATTTGCTCTATTTTCTGTTGTTTGAGTACTCTTCCTTTTGCATGTTTGCAGGAGCTCCAGTATGATCCAACAAGTGGACTTCATGTCTTGGACATCTTCTCAGAGAATGTGGATGTGGGAACTTATGGGTTTGTTTTTGAGGTATTCCTGTTTATTTTTTTCCCTAAGGAATCAAATTGTGCTTTGAATGCGTGTCCATGGTATTATAACATTTAAAACACATCTTGTAGATGGTCCTTGAAGATTTGGATAGAAGAAGTGATTATGCTACTGGGGGCCAAACTCATGTGCCAATATACATCACCGGAGTTATTAAAATTGCCAATGCTGAAATTGCAGTATTGGACAGTGATCTTGGAAGCATTGAAACCCAAAAAACGTATGTTCTGTGTTTGGTTGAAAATAGCCAATTTGATAATTGATGCATGCTTTATGCAGCATTAATAAGAAAACTACTACTGTTTAAGTATTAGTATGTCAGGCATATCTCATTCGATTATCTTTGAAGTTTGAATATGTCCATGAGTTCATATCTTAATGCACTTTTTTCTGTTCAGAACATTATATTGCGTATGGTTTTGACTTTTTGTATCTCCAATTCCTCTTTTACTATCCAGGCTAGATTTAACTGGAAATGGTGTAGTTTCACTATCAGCTAACCACCTGGCCAAGTTGCGTTTGTCTTTTCAGTTGATGACATCCCATGGTCATGCTTTTAAGCCTCAACAGGTTGTTTTTGCCTTTTCATTTGGCAAGCCTCATGGTCTTGCGTTACTTTTTCCTTTTTGCCAGTACTCAGTTTGTCGAGGATTTTGTTGTTCCACAGGCATTTCTCAAGTTGAGACATGAGACAAATGTTGAGCACATATTTGTGGTTGGAAGTACTGGGGAGAAGTTTGAAATTGTTCTAGTTAAGTATTGATTATTACATAGGTCTTAGTTCCTCCCTTGATTACTGGTTGTTCATTTGGATTGATATAATTTCTCTATGCATCATTGAATTCATATGAGGCATTCTTTAGTTTGTCAATAATTACTCTAAATGCAAACTTGTATGATGTCATGAAAAGACCAGAAGTGCTAGATTTCATATATATTGCACCTAAACATTGCTTGCATAGGTTGGTCTACTTTAATTGCATTTGAGATGATTACGATAGTGGCCGACACTTTTTTTTCCTCCTAAACTTGTGTTTCTCTTGATTAAATACTGTAAAGTTTTATTTTCATCTCCTGTCTTGCTAACAGTTGATCATTTTGGCATTTAGGACTTTCTTGGTTTGGTGGAGAAATTGTATTATCTCTCAGGCAGATATGACATTGAGCTGACAATTGGAGATGCTGTAATGGTAGCTTGCTCTTCGTTGTCTTTATTTATTTCTTTCTCCTACCTCGTATTCTGAGGAAAAATTTATTTGATCTCACAGGAAAACTCTTTCCTGCGATTTCTTGGCCATATTGAATTGGATCTTCCAGTAGTTCCTGAGAAGGCAGCCCGTCCTCCTCCACCACCAGTTGATCCTTACTCAAGATATGGGCCCAAAGCAGAGATAACTCACTTATTTAGGGCTCCTGAAAAGCGACCACCTCAAAATGTGTCTCTCACTTTCTTGAGTTTGACCCTTCTTCCCTTTGTTGGCTTTTTGATTGGGGTAAGTCTTGTTAAAATACTCAAAGTTGCTACAGTGCACAAAGTTTTACCTTTATTGAACTTTGACTTGTTTGAAGATAAGTTTTTGACTTTTAAACCTGAACAATGAATCTCTGAAAATTTTAAATTTGTGCATACAACCCCTTGTTAGCTCATTATTTCAATCATAAAAGCATAACACGTACAAGGTTATTTTACATGACCTATAGTTCAGAAGAGTTATTTATGGATATATTTAAGGAGATTATCTCCAGACAAAAAAAAAAGTGAGAAAAAAAATGTTTTGGGGACTTCATTGTCAGTAATGTGCTATGCTTTGTGTTTGTGGGTAACTTACTAATGACAAAGGGCTATCTATATGAATTTGAAAGTTTTAAGGGCTCCTTATCGAATTTAATGAATCAAGATTATCTGCATACGACTTTTAGATCTAAGAAATTTATTTACATTTTATCCAACTATTGGATATTATATTTAGAATTATATTTGATCAAAGTGTTTTATAATGAGACTAAGGGTCTTGTCTACTTAGACGACCAAAATTTTTTTTCTATGTTCGAAAAATTATACTGTATCAATGGAGTTAATTGTGAAATCGATAAATTGATTACTGAACCAGTCCAAAAGCGGCTGAACCGGTTATTGGTGTTTTTTTTTTTTGGTAAGCAATAGGAGAAAGAGGGGTTTGAAACAGAAAAATGCGGTGAGAAAAAAGTATAAGAAAAACAAATGATGGGTACTTGGTCATTTTCAGTGCTTGAACTCCATCATATTTGACCAAAATTGCTCATCCCTCTATTCCTAGTATAATTTGGAAATTACACAAGTGAAATGCTCAGTACTTTAACATTTAATCATTGGTAGTCTTTATTGTTGAATTGAAAAATGTGTACTCTTCCAATCTTTAATATAAAATCTAATTGTTGAGTTGATGTTGATCCTAAATATAGGACCTATTTCTTATATTTATCAATTTTTCTTGAATTACCCTTATAGATACTCCTACAACCATAATCAAGTAGAAGAGAGAGAGAGGATATTAAGGAAGATGATTATAGTATTTTAAGAAAAATATGTTATATTTCTTATAATTAACTAATTTACTTAACTTTTTTAATTTAATTAAATTAGTTAAATAGGTCTTAAGACTGGAGGGGTATTATATTTTATTAATCTTCTATGTGGCGTTTAACATGTGTCTTTCTCTTCCACAATTTGCAGTTACTACGCTTAGGAGTGAACCTAAAGAATTTCCCTTCAGCAACAGTACCTGCCACATACGCCGCCCTCTTCCATGCTGGCATTGCTGCGGTTCTGTTACTTTACTTACTTTTCTGGTTAAAGGTGTGCGCCTCTCTGCATGCATTAAAATTATTGCGGATCTGGCAAGATCGTTGAATGGAACTGTACTAATTCAATTTTGTAGGATCTATATTAAACTAGGCAAACTTGCAGAGTTCAGTCAATATACAACTCATTCTTATTTTTATTTTAAAAATAATATTAATTATATTCCAGTTAATTGATTGATAAAAAAATACCTACTTAAAATATCTCTAACTGCTTCCAATCAACTATATAATTTAAGTTTTTTAAATAAATTTGTTACATTCACTATATCTTTACAAAGTATTATAGAAGTATTTACAAATCATTTACTAACGAGGTCATTATATTAACAGTGAGTTTATTGTTTGCCAACTTGGTCAATTCTTTTTGGTATTAATTACTCTTTTTCTTCTTATTTACAAGTCGTGTTTCGGAAACTTTTCACGTTAGTTCAGGCATCATGCACAAGCCATACGTGATAATGTCTTTTGACTTTTTCAATTATGCTTTTGATGCGGATACTGTTAATTTTAGCAAAAGATTAAAATAAACGCAAGCGCGTGATCGTACGTATTTTCATGATTATTTTTTCATGACTTTTGTAGCATTGAAGAGACAGGGAGAACTCGTAATGATGTTTCCAACTAATGTTGTACAGTTTCGTCACAAAAAGTTCCATGGTGTCACCAAAAAAAAAAGAAGACGAAATTAAAAGTCCTATTCGCAAATCAAAACCGCGTGCATTTTTCAAACATGTGAAATCTCCGGTGATTAAGGGAAATAAATTAACACAGTATGCTAGTTGGGTCTTCCTAATCAATTTTTGTATGCATATATTTGCGCTTTTAATTAAAAATGAGATTGTTTTAATCATATCCTCTCAATTTTAATAATATTTAAAATTATCATGAGATACTTACCTTTTTGGGCAGCTGAAGGTAGGAAAATAAATTTGTTTATTAAACCAAAAAATGTAAAATTAATTTGAATTTGAAATGATTTCTTCAAACTTTAGCATTGATCAATCTCATTTTATTTAAAAAAACTTGAAATGAAAATTATATAATATAATTTTTGGGGAAAGTTGGTATTTTAGTCATAAAAAGTAAATGAAATAGCATTGTTAATGTTGTTAAAAAGGATAAAATATACTAAATCATATTTTATCCAATTGGCTAAAATATATATATTTATATATATAACTTGTTATCCATACTCCATAGTTTAGCTTCAGTTGAAATTCAAAGTGATATGCCTTATATTAATAGTAATAAATAATATTATAGAGCTCCCTTTAATACCCATCCTTATTGTTTGAACCCTGTCTTGACAACAGGAGAACTAACTTCTCTTAATATAAGAGTTCATGAATATGAAATCATGAACATGATACTGAATTTGATCATGACGAAGATGAAGCAGTATCTTTTTTTTCAATTTGGATTATGAAACAATATAGGAACCACGAGCCGTGGATAAACACCTTCTCAACGACAAAGAAGATGGTTCCTAATTATATATGAGGTGTGAGGTTGAATGGTAACCTCATATAAAAAATTAAAGATAAGCAAATTTGTAAGTAGAATTCAATAATTTTAACTAATATTTGTGGAAAACAACGTTTTCTTTCATTATTATACCAAAGTTATATTTATTACAGAAGGGGGAAATGTCTTCTTTTTTTTTGTTTTGGACTGAAGGGAAAATGTCAATTCTTACTAATATTAAAAATGTTGCAAATGTTTGATAGGAGATTCGTGATATTTTACAGAGAATGAAAAGTTTGACTATTTGCTGGGCTATTTGAAGTATCATTTAATGTCCTTATTTGGACCAATTATATTGCAGGTTTTTAATTGTTATTACTTTTTATTATTCCTATATCAGTATAACATGAAAATTCTCAAATAAGGCATATGATTCATGAATTACTGTTTCGAAATTCGAACTAATGCTGTAAAGTTTGGCAAAAAAACAAAAAAAAAAACCAATTGAATAATTATTGTTATTATTATTAGTATATAATAAAGTTATAAACCGCACATTGTGAAAACCCAAACAAAACAGGTTCTCCGTAGGATACAAAATCATCGTTCTGAACCAAAATCATCGTTCTGAAACATAATCACGCTGGCAAGCACATAATCGCTGGCGCCAATCTCATACCGAGAAGAATTCGTATTGTTACCGTATTTCTATCTATGCAACGTTCGTTAGGTTTTATCATTTAAAATGGTAGGTTCTGCTTAGATGGCAAGGATGAGATGGAGTGTAGATACTATTCAAAGATTTAAACCCTCTCGATTTTTTTTTTTTTTTAACAAAAAAAGTCCCGCATTGTCACCAAAAACAATCGGAAAATCCTAATCATATTCAAAACCCCATACATTTTTCAAACATGTAAAATCTCCAGTGACCGTCAACATTAGGAAAATAGGACCTTGATAACGAATAAATTAATACAGTATGCTAGCTCAGTCCTCAGAATCGTCCAGACGGAACAAAAAACTTCGACTTTTTGAGAGTTCCTAACTAGATAAGTTCAAACTGTGACTTACGCCTATAGTGAAGAGATCATAGAAACATGCAAAAGAACACTGCAAGCTTGGATATAGTTGCTCATCAGCAATTTTGCACTACACTTTGGCCATGCGGCATCTGACATGTCCGAGGTTTCCATGTCAACGGCAGAAAGTCTCCATTTAGGGGAGTACTCACCAGTACCCCGGACACTTTCACTCGTCAGCCACATCTTCTTCTGAATAATAAACACGGTATCATCCTCACCTTGCCCTGCATCGGACATGGCCACTGCATCCCAGTGCAATGCTGGCAAATAGTTCTTATATACTCTACTACAGGCCGCCTATCATGGATGATGACAAAACCCTTCGGCCGGAGGAATTCTGTCCATCTCAATCAGTAAATCCTCGGGACTGCATTCCTTCTCAATGATATCAGAAAATATGGTCCAAGCGTGGAGTAGATCATATGTTCGAGGGTAGGTTGAAAAAGCTTCACACTTGTCACGTTTATAATCAAAGAATATCATTATCAGAAGTAATATGCCGTGTGAACTACTTTACAGTAGCCACAGGGAAGGTTTCATGTTAAAAATTTGAAAATCAGGCACCAATCCTGATGTAATCAAACACGAGGGTGTTTATTTTTCTTTGAAACTGTACATCAAATGCAAATTCTTCCTGGTGATGAGATTGACAAAAACCATATGAATGGGACGTGAATCGGATCTTGCTTTTCAGGTTCACCATTTCCTTCAGATGGAAATCATCATAAAATAAAACAGAAATAATGTAAGAGTAATAGGCATCCCCTAATATAAATAGCCAATCCACTCTCTAGGTGAGATATGAAACCCTACCAATTGTGAACTGTTCCTAACAGTCCTCTGTCATATATTATCTTCAGGGGATTGGCCCATTTTTCAGGCACCACATTCATGACCAGACATCTTTGTCCTTCAATCTCCAGCAGCAGCAAACGAACCCATATTTGCCTTCATGTCCATCACTCCAATAATTGTCAACTCGTTGTTGTCCACCTCCTGCACAAATTATCAGTCTGTCATTATTCCAAAAACCATAGTAATAGTAATTCTCTTTAGCGTAATAAAAAATATTGCAAAATTTTCAACAAATTTTACCAATATAAAGAACTTCCAAGAGCACATCTGGAGAAAATGAGCCCAAATGCAAAATTTTTATATCTTTACTATTCAATTCTCCAAGAGGATTGCTTTCATAATTGATATCACATCATTGGGTCTATTTTAAAATTTGAACGTCATATTTTTATTGAAGATTTAAAATTTTGAACGTCATATTTTTATTGAAGAAATTATAGCAAAGATCTAAAGAAATATACCCTACTCTAAAACATACAAATGTGAGCCAAAATGAAAAAATATGATCCATTTGAGTAGTGGGTTGGCCTATGATCACAGTTCATAAACAAATGTAATCAAATAAAGAACCCTATGATCTCAACCACTTTTGTTCAAATTTTCAGCGAGCTAATATTGAGTTCCAGCAGATTCTTTTTCAACTCTCTGTTCTATTTCCTATTTTACTTGTTTTTACAGTAGCCTTCAGAACTTGTTCCTAGGCCCCTCCGATGAATGAAATGATGCATGAGTTGTGCAACTGAAAAAGTAGTATAGAAATTAAGTCACCATGTCTTTCTCAAAACATTTCAGTAGTATAATCAAAGTCAGCAAGACGAGGAGGTGGAGCAGTCAATCGTGCAGGCCAAGGAGCCAAACCACTTCCTTTTGCTCTATGCATTTCTGTAGACACCAGCACAGCATGCAATTATTACATTTTAAATTCCCAATACAAAAGCATGAACTAATACTAGTAACTGCTAATAATCCAAAAGATATTAATCCACAAGCAAGTATAAATAATGCACCATCAGACAACGTGAAAAAATCTTTTTCAGCAAAAACAATTATCAACAAAGCCACTCTGGTTGTCTGAAAACATTTTCATCAGTGGTTTATTTTATGTCTGTTGATTAATCAAACAAAGGCCAAGTCACTGCATGAGTGAGCAAGGTGTTACTCACGGTCAGTGTAAGGTGTAATGCAAGCTTCCATTTTAACTCCCCAGACAGCATCAGGATCGTCATCAGGTTTGCAGAGAGGAGGTTGGGCGCCTGGCTCCCTTTTTCGGTAGCAATCATTTGTCAGAGGCTTGACCCATATAACAGTCTGATTCCTTTTAGCAGCTATTTTCCAACACATCCGTTCTACTAGAGCACTCATTTCTCTCCATATCCTTCGATCCTCTTCCTCTTCATCCTGCGCATATGCTTCAGGAGATGAATATGCAAAATAACCTCCTGGCCTGAGTAACCGATCCACCTCAAGAAGAAGGATACCATCTCTTGGAGCCAGTCAATTCTACACCGAGAACAATGAGCAAGTTCAAATGATCTACCAGGGTAAGGGAGTCTTTTTGTCCCCAAGACACCAAGATATGCCGGAATGCCCTCTCTCTAGAGCAAACTGGATCTGGTTTTCATGAACATCATTGGGTGCTAATGACATTGCTATTACATTAGAAGAAAGTAGATATCCTCCAAAGCTCGCAACTCCACAGCCAACATCAAGAACACTCCGCAATCTTCCTCCATTGTTTATCTTATTGTTTGGAAAGTTAAGCATCTGTACATTCATGAGTATGATGTTAATATACTACCAGTCATGAGAGAACTTATTTTCAGTAGCATTCTATTCGCAAACTATAATGGAGTAATTGCCATACATTTGCCATTGATGCAATGTATTTATCAGCACCATAATGGAAGTGCGTTCCTCCACCAGGAAAAACTATCTTTTCTCCTTTTACAATCATCCATCTCTGATCAGATTTCTCAGTTGCAAGGTGGGTATGGGGTATATTTGCTTTCCATACCTGATCTCTGCTTTTGGGCCATTTCATTGGAACCTGTTTTTATAGCATAAGAAACAGGAGATTTAGCCCAGAAAGTCCTCACTAACATCTAACAAGCAAAGACCAGAAAGTCACCTTGTAACCAGGGGGAGGAGGAATCAGACAATTATAACGCCTCTCAGGCATTGGGCAGTGTCGTTCATAATGCTCCATCAATGACAAATCAAGTTTCAATCTTGTCTGGTATATTAGGTTTCTGTCTAAACAGGGAATCAGCTCTGAGAGACGATCATCGCATACCTTACAAAGGTAAAAAGAAATACAAGATGACTTGATTATTTCATCACAGGAACTAATATTTGAGGTTAGCAGGAATGGGAAATTAAAATTTGATCAATTCTAGGATAACTCACTGGAATTGTCTTCAGCATAGGACCATATCCTACAATTGTTTTGGAGGAAGATTCATTGGCATCTTCATCCCCTCCCCAACCAAAGTGTTTTAAAGATTTACTACCGTACTCAAGAGGAGATGAGCCACTTTTCCGAGAACACAAGTAAAAGAAAGCACAAACAATGACCAACACTAACAACGTGACCAGCTTCTTTCTCGGGTTCCCATCTGCTCTGTTTCGATTCATTCTTGCCACTGCAAATAAATCACCTTTTTACTATGATTTCATCTGGCAGAAGATCAAACTGCAAATTTTCACAAGGCAAGCAATTGCTTAATCGAAACCCAGCTCAAAATTTTCTCACCGCACTCACTGATTCAAAGTTCCCCCAAAATGCCCTTAATTTAAAGGCACGGACTCAATAATTCATATTCCATTTAGCATCCAGGAGTGCCGGTGAGAATCATAAAACGAAGCTGCACAAAAAGTTGAAATCAAAATCAATGGAACGTTACATGCATTGTAAGAATTAGCATAAACGCATTAGCTCTTCGTGGGACCAGCTGCACACTCTTCCGGGAAAAGAAAAATTACTGTTTGATCAAATAAATCATCAACAAAACCAAATAGCTAAGCAAAACCTCGAAAAAACGATGGGATAAAGATAGTGGGATTACGGTCTCAAAAGCACTACAGGAATT